AGATTTATTCTGAAATGGGTAAGTGTTTATTGCTTACTATGAAAAGTTTGTTTCAGTGACAGATCGAAAAATTACTCTGCTTTGTTAGCTTATGCAAACAATAATTCATTAAAGAAATGTGTAGTTATGCTAGGATTGGTTTGGATTAAAACCCTTGTGCATTCTTGAAAACTGCTGAAGAAAACTGAGGCTTATTAAGAGATTGTCATTTCTTATTAATTAATGTAAGCCCCAGCCACAGGAACACATTTTTTAATGCTTGTAATGAATTGTATCAATTTAGAGTGGTCGCTTGTCCTTTGAGATGTGCTGTGACTGAAAACACTTGTCCAACCTAAGTATCTAAGTAATAGTAAAGTACCCATTGATATTTGGGTAAGGTGGCCTGTGTAATACTCAAAATATGTTGGTTATGGGGTTAGTTGAAGGAAATAAAAATTATGGCTGGCGAGGGACATAATATTTCCTTATTAACACCAGTGAGCAGACAACTCCTAAGATGGGGAGGAACGCTGAAGAAATTCCCCAAAGCCTAATGACAAGCTGTGGAAGGAGTAAAGAACTGCCCAGGAACCCCCCAATACCCATTGAGAGAAGTGGCCACAGGGTTTTGAGAACTGGTAGTATTTATTTTATTTTACTTCGTTTTATTTTCTATTTCCACCCTGCTCCTAGCCTAAAACCAAAGGAATGATTAAGGAAGTGGTTTTCAACCTTTTTTCATTTGGAGCCCCGTAAACAATTTTGAATGGTGGTGCAGACCTCTTTAGAAATCTTAGACATAGTCTGCAGACCCCCAGGTGTACGCAGCCCACAGGTCAAAAACCACTGGATTCAGGTATAGCCAGTAAATCGGCAACAGTTCACATTCTACAGTGTATGTTTGGCACACAGTTGTTTTAGTGGTATGTATGTGCACCACTCTCAGCTACTGAAGAAAGAGAGAGTGAAAATATATAGTCAGAGGCCTGTCTCTTAAGATGAGGCTTTCCAGAGGGTATTGCCACTATTTCTCACCCCAATGAAAGAGAACATAACATTGTGGATGCACTTCATTCTGGGAAATGAAATGCTGAGGAAACATAGCATGAGATCTGCTTAGGAACATCGTTTTTTCCTTACGAGACAAGATCACGGATGTATCAAGTCCAGCATCCTGCTTCCAGCAGTAAACCACACCCAGTGTTTCAGAAGCAGCTTCCCATGTCCTGCAATGTACCTGGTCAGTTGTGGTAATGCTGCATAGATGCGGGTAAAGAGAAATTCCTTTCTGACCCTTGTGTCAATCAAGTGACATCCTGAAGCATTGGATTTGTATTACCCTTATCTTAGCAGGAATAACTACAAAAGTCATTACTGACCATACAATTATCCCATACTTTAACAAAAAAAAATTCAGCTAACTTTATGACTTCCTGCAGCAAACTGCCTCCACACAATGGGAAGAACTATTTCCTTTCATTTGATCTAATCTTACATGCCAGTGGGTGCAGTATAGATAGATGCATAGGTAAACTGGTAGATTTTATCAAACCACTCCCTTTCTTCATATATTTTCTGACAGCTCATAGAAGGGCTGGGTAAGTTCTTTTATACTCGTCATCATTAACACCATATACTAATTACTAGAACTTGCTGGACATTTTTCAATAGTGTTTTTCCATGAGAAAATGCCAGTTCACCAACATCTACATGTTCCTCAGGAACATGTGGATTTTATAGACTCTTTCAGTGGAAACCAGGCAGTTTTCCCAGAGAAGCTTGCTTTGTTTTCTGCCAGTTTGCTTGCCTCTTCAGCTGCCTGTCTGGTGGGCTGCTGCAGAGCTGAGAGCCTGGCAGACCTGGAAGCCCTGGGAATTCTGACAGGAGCCAGGGCTCTCAGGGTTTCTAGGCTCCCACTCTGAGGATGGGAGCCTGGCAGCCCTCCTAGTGGTCTGGCAGGGAATCTGGAAGCAGGGGTGCTATTTTTCCACGCTGCTTGGAAAAAGTCAAAAATGAAAAGTTGTTTCATTTTTTTCCTTAAATAAAATTTTGGAATTCCCACTCCAGGGGAAATGTTGAAGTTGTATTCTGCATTGGAACAAAATCTATTTAGGTATTTCAGAATATCATGCAGAATGGTTATTCTAGGTATTCTAGTATTCTTCCTATACTTCTGAACCATCTCAAGATCTAGCCCCTAGTAAAGTGCATTATTACAGTCATCTTGAGGTGAGAAAGGTAACAAGGTAGCAAGGCCCACAGTTCAAACAAATGGCTGAACTTACCATACCATCCACAGGTGGAGAAAGATACTCTTTGTCTTGGCTGCCATCTGTGTTTGAAGCTCTAATAAAACCCCTAACCTGAATCTGATTTTCAAATAATGACCGCACTGACAAATCATGATTCTCATATGACACTATGTGATTCTTCTGGTTCCTTCCATCAACTGACTAATGTTGTCTTTCCTGGATTGAGCCACAACCATCTACCCCTCATCCAAGTCCCAAACTCTAGTGAGCACTAAGACATTCATTCCATTGCACCAGCAGGATTGGATATTTTAGAGAGACAAGGTGGGTGAGGTAATATCTTTTATTAGACTGACTTCTATTGGTCAGAGAGATATTTTGGAGATATACAAAAGTGTTATCATCCACGTATTTCAGAAACTGTAATTCATGTGCCTTTCCTCGCCTTCGTAGCTGCCTCAGGGGCACAATGAGCAAGAGAGGGACAGAGTAGAGCCCTGTGGTGTCTAGAGCAAAAGTGCCCTAGAAGTGGAAACACTTGTCCAGAGTCATCTTCTGGGGTTTCTATACAAAAAAAGGCCAAGCTACCTAGGTGGCTCCATCCAACCATATGGATTGCAAGCCTTGTCAACATCACCTCCTGATTAACTGCATCAAAGACAGCTGACAGATCAAACAACATCAGAATGGATAAGCTGTCCTTATTCATAGCCAGGAGATCAATATTACTAGTGCAGTTTTAGAGCCATAGCCAGTCTAAAACTAGATTGAACAGGATCAAAGAAATTGACATATTGAAAATATGGCCATGGTTGTTTAGCCACTAACTGTACAACAATCTTCTAAAAAATGGGTATATGTGACTCCACTCTATAATTGGTGAGGTCACCATTAAGTTTCTCCTTGAGAACACCTGGAATCCTAGTAATCTCTGTCACCACTGAGTACATTGACTCACTGCTGGTCTTTAGAAGCCAAGATGGACACAGGTCCAACAAATACACCAACTCTGATGCTGGCAGACCAGCTCATGCCAAGTCCCCTGGGCCTCAGTGAACACTGATAAATGCATAGCTGGAAGTGTGTTAGTACTGTTAAAATAGATCTTAGAGTTATACGAATGTGGTGAGTGCTTAGAACTTATGAAATGCTTGTAGGGTTCTACATATATTCATCTTACTTATAATATCTGACATGTTATAAGGGAATATTTAAGTGTTTGCTCTGTAACTATAAAAATGTTTGCTTAGACTCTAAACCCCACCAGTCAGGAGAGAAGCATTACCAAGTATGAAATACTAGTTTACCACAAGAGGCGTCATCTCCTCCCCAATAAAAAAGGCCTGTGGATACCAGGCAATCCATTGTGGAACATCAGTGGACAAAAGACTTTGTCGATTGTTTCCCCCACACCTGTAAGGGGGCATGTGCACAAGCCATCATCCCATCACAGCTTGAATGCTGGGGGAAGGGAATAAAAATCCCTGTTAAAGAGAAATTATCAGCACTATGTTGCCTGGAATTTGGAGAGGGCAATATTTCTAATCTTAAACAAGGGATTCCCAAGCTGCTTGGCTTGGGTTAGCACTAAGCGACCTAATAGAGTTTACATATTACAACAACTTCTATTATTTTTTTAAACCTAAGTCTGTAGTTCATTTGTGTGTGTATCTTCACCTGCTTTAACCTTGCAAATAACTCGTTTCTTTTCCCTAGTTAATGAGCCTACAGATCGTTTGTTATAGGAATAGCTACAAGTGTTGTCTTTGGTGAGAGATCTAAGGTACAATTGACCTAGGGTAAGTGACTGGTCCTTTGGGACTGGGAGTAACCTGAATACTGTTGTGACTTTTGGTGTAAGAGACCATCTATCACAAAGGTGGTTGGCAAGATAGACTGGAGTACCTAAGGGGAATGTCTGTGACTCCATGGTTAGGCTGCTATAGTACTTGCACAGTTCACACTTGATATTTGATTGGTAAAATCTAAGTATGGAACTCACTCCCAGCTTGGGGTTTGTGCCCTGCTTCTTGGCACTCTGCCCTGAGGTTGGCACTCACGGTCATGAGCTCCTCCAGACATCCTGGCACCAACAAAGGGCTAATGTGTCTTCAACATTTCCAGAAATTCATTGAAATTTCAACAGAGAAGACACTGCACTGTGAAGAGTGATATATAAAGATCTAGGTATAATTATGATTTATTATTATTACTATTATTTTTCTCTTAAGACATTGTATTCCAAACTGTCTCTGAAACAAAGGGATTTTATCTTCAAAGCAAACAGGATATTTCTCACAGCAAGAATCACAGGACTATGTTTCCAGGTGACACAGCTTGGATCAATCAAGCTACCCACCACCTAGAAGAGTTCCACTATGTGAGTTTGCACACGCTGTTGTGGAGGCAAGTTGACAGCCACAGCATACGTCTTTTTAAAAAAACAGATGTCACAATCAGTCACACTGAGAGCAGTATTTCCACCCTGCTCAAATCATCATTTTTTTATCTGTTGAAAGACATCTATAAATCATGATGACTGGGGAGGATGAATTCAGTAAGAAGGATATCTTTGTATCAATAGTCATGGACAAAATATTTACATAGTATCCCATCAAACCATTGACAAGACAATCCAATCTGCACTTGGCTTTTTCCAGGCTAATCTATTTTAGATTTTGCAGTCTCTTATCCTATGTGAATCCTCTAACCGTCTTTATTGCTCTTGTCTGAAACTTTTTAATCTCAACAACATGTTTTCTGTAGGTGAAGCGGCCAAAACTGGACACAGTATTCCAAACAGGTAAGTAGCATTGTTTGGTAGCATTACATCATAATTAAAAAGGCCCAAACCAGAGCCTTTTATCTGGGTTCTCTTCACCTAAGTTCTTGAGCTTTTGCAGTTGATGTAATGAAACCTGGATCTGAACCACCTCTGATACAGATTTTTGCAAAACCAAAACCAACCAGTTTGTTCTTGTTAAATGGAAACTTTTGATTCTAACCCATTCCCTGGCCTCTAATGTTGGGGGTTCGGATGAAATGGAACCTTCATCCAACTTACCTTCTGTTGTGGTTTTGTTTTGCAGAACTAAAACCCAGCATCCCCGGCCCATCTCTAAATAGAATGTTTTCTCTCTTATTTCCATCACTTCTGCTTCTTCTGAAGCAAGTGGCATTGCCCTGATATAAACTCCAGAGGACAAAGAGAGAAGGGAGAGAACACAGAAAGTGGGAAGATGTTGTTCTGATTCACTACTGCAGGGAAATATGTAATCAGAACATGTTCTTCAAAAACAGAATTAAGGTGAGAATTAGGCTTTAAAAAGAGCCTTAGCCATTCAACTCTCTTTGTAAGGTGACTGGAGGGGAACCTGACAAACACTTATTGCCCATTGCCAGTCTCCTTGTTCATGAACAGCCACTTAGAGGAAGCTAGCCTGGGAAGTTTGTCATATTTATTTATAGGAAAATGAAGCGCTCAATACAAGCTGAAGTAAGCAGGATTCTTCAATCTGTCAATGCCACGAGCAGTGATTGCACAGCACTCTGTATCCTCGGTGCACTGGGCTGTGATATTTTATTTCATACATCATTTCATATTCCAAGTTGTATAATCACACATCCAGCAAATTGCACTGCACAGCAGTGAACATGCTGTTTGAATCTATGGCGTAAAGTTAGCCAGTTAGGTAGGTAAAAGAACAATTTGTGAAAGACCGGGTAGTCTTACTTCTCCGACCTGCTGGTGCCAGGTGAAAAGGTTTACAATATTCCAAACCTCTGGTCTGGTCTTCGAACACACCTGTGCTCAGCAGCCCCGAAAGTTCAGCGAACAAATTGTTTCTGTGCTGCTATTTCATTTTATTCCTTCTGCAAGATTACTTTCGCACATCTGGTAAAAATTAGATACACAGATTAGTTATGGTTCTATTTTTGGTTCATTTCTTGAAGCCTCTGCCCTCACCTCTCTAGCGCAGGAAAGACATACATTTCTTTCAGGAATAGTTGTTCTCATTACTGGCTTTGGTTAGGGATTGCACAGCCAGTGTCATGTCTAATTAGATTCCAAGAACTCCAGGTCCATGATTTGTGACAGTGAAAGTGCATGCTGATGATGCATCTCTACTGAGAGCACGGCTTATCCAATAAAAAGGCACTCTCTAATCCACAGAAATATGTCACACACTTGCAGTTTTAATGAAACGGTAATCAGCCTACCCCAAGCTACATTTCATCTGCATTAGGCTATATAACATTAATCAGTGGTCTATAAAAAAAGGCAAGGTGCTTTTTAAAATTATTCAGGCATGACATTTTGCTTGGGTTTTAACTCCTTGCCTGCTCTCCTTTTTCCATTAAAACAGACACACAGAAGATACAGAGGGCCTGATATAGGTCAGTAACTGAAAATGAAAGTATAAATTTCTCCCTTATACCTTGCACTTTATTGAAGTGATATGCCTCACAAAAGACAAAGCATCAAGGTAGTGAGTGTCTATCCAGGGTTGCCACCTGCTTTGAGCTGAAAAGGCCTGTTTGATATTTCAATTTCTGCCCTATGTCCCACTGCTTCAATGACAAGACACTGCTGCTACACGTTACTGAGAAAACCAGGTAGCAATAGGAGCAAGGAAAGCCTTCAACCTCCAGCCTGACAGCAAATAATGTCCTTTTGAACTAGGACATACAAACCATGATCAATGAAGCTATCACCTCAAGACAGGACTACTGTTACTCCCTCTACTTAGGACTTTTCATCATTGCCAGCCAGGAATTCCAGCTTGTACATCATACAGCAACCTGCCTTGTGAGTGAAGCTAACCCTTGAAAGCACTTCGCACAGAACTCTGTGCGTCCCACTGGCTCCCCATTTGCTTCTGGATCCAAATAATCCTTGGGGCCTGCAATTATCTTGAATGCCCCACTATTTATGATCCTGGTACACAGACACTATCAATGCCTATAACAGAGTTTTCTACATTTTGGGAAGTGGTTCCCTTGAGGTGTGGGTGTGTGTATGCATGAAGGACTAGCTGGAGGGCATGGGCAGATCTCTTGACTGTTCTCCAAAGTCTCGGCTTTCACTTAAAAAGAAGACTCTTGTTGTGCTTGTGGGGGAAAAAAATCTTTAAAATATGACCCAAGTGTAAAATATGAGCCATGCAGTGATGTCTGCCTGTGTTTGCAGGGAGTCTAGAATTATACCTCTGAGGTATGAACTGTTCCATTTGCCTCAGTGGTTGCTAATTCTGATGCCAGTGATGATACCTTATATGTCATTCCTTAGAATAAAATGTCTGGACATTTAACATTCAATTTAATTTCATGCAAATTCTAAAATATGGGCAAACTTTTAAAAACATGTGGTAAGGCCAAAGGGCGGGCAGGGGAGGTGCAGCAGGGAGGGTCATCTTCCAAAAGATTAGGGAATGCTGGCCTATAGTGAGACTATCATGAGCTGGCAGCAAAAGGCCAAATTCTCTGCTAGCGTAAATGGTTACAGCTTCATTGCCCTCAATAGAATTTTGCCTATTTACACCAGCAGAGAATTTGGCTCAAGGATTTCCCTCAGATTGGGGTTTATGGAATTCAGAGAAGATCAGACTATGCTCTAATATGACTGTGCTCAGTTCCCTGTGCACAACCCATTTGCTTCTCAGAAGCCTTAACTTGAATAGATGCCATGATACTCAAGCCCTAATGATTTTTATAGGATTAATTAGTTAATCTATGTACACAGGGAAAAGCAGGTAATTGCATGCATAAAATGTGCATTTTCAATCAAGGTTATATGTATTTTACACCCACAATTTCCTGTTTACTCCCATGTGTATATATTTTATAGGAATAAGTAGGATAGGTACTTATTTAATTTTAATGTGGTCTTTAGAATTTTTGACATATTCAACCTGTGACACTGCTGCTACCCCTTGCCTTTGTGTTTCAATATGATTAGCTTCACTTCAAAGCTTTATAACTGTGTACACTCAATAAGCACTGAAGCACGACAGATAATTATAATCATTACTAGTTCCTGAATTCTTTAGATAGATATTTTTCCTGATTTCAGAAACTGTTCAGGTTCAGAAACAGAGCTCTTAGTACTCCTTGCATATCAGATAGAACAGGATGAATCCATTTAAGTAATTAACATCTTTATTAGGACCAAGGATTTTCCCCCATTTGCTTTATGGCCTACTGTAGTTCTCTTGAATCCTAGCATATCATTTAATCTGATATTGACTGGTAGAAATATTATGAAATAGAACTATTGTATCGTAAGTCCCTATTTACAAGCAAGTCCCTATTTTCACAATATTTCCACAGCAGAATTCCTACTGGCATTTTTACACCTGTCCAATTGATCCTTTCTGCCACTCTTCTAAAGTCTGACCCCAACATTGGCATCTGAAGGTCATATGACTGTGTCCGAGTTAAATAAACAGCACATTTCTGTATTAACATAAATGTCTCATTCCCACTGAGATGAATGTTCCAATGTCTGTCTTGTATTTGATCTGTGGTTCAGCTGATTTGCCTACATTCCAGAACAGGAAATTGGAGTAAGGAAAGAGAAAGTAACATAATCATTTATTCACCTCCCCATAAGTTTCTTTTCTCAACATAAATAATGACATTCGACCTTTCACTGGAACAGCATGGAAATTAAGACACATGATGATCTTTCTTACGGGTTTCCCTTGAGCTGACTGTGGTCATTTCTCACAATATGCTTTGACTTTCTTTCCCTCGGATAAAAAGCAAGCTATAAAAGTAATAAACCTTTCATGCCAGTTCTCAGAGTAGTTAACCAAAAGTCTAGCTAATGAGGGTTTTTCTTCTAGGGCCAGGAGAGAGTTTACAAATCCTTTGACCAGGGAGTATGGCTATCTAGTCCGGAAATGGCTTCTCTGCTCAGAGCACGTACATTTACAACAGTAGTGAGCAGCCTCACTGGATGCAATGCTAATCACTCCAGCTCTGTGTGTATTCAGTGTACACATTATCATACTGTACATAGATCAGGAAAGGAAGGAGGTAAAGGAGGGCCAGAACCTGACTCAGCAGATAAGGAAGGTTAAAAAAAAAAAGAAGCAAAACATAAAATGATAAAGCACCTATATCTATAGTAGCGGCAAAGAGTCCTGTGGCACCTTATAGACTAACAGATGTATTGGAGCATAAGCTTTCGTGGGTGAATACCCACTTCGTTAGATGCATGTGCATATAAGGTGCCACAGGACTCTGCCGCTTTTACAGATCCAGACTAACACGGCTACCCCTATGATACTATATCTACAGTGACATTTGTTCATTCTGAATACCTTCCAGCTGAAATTTGCATCAAATCTCAAGGATGAAGAGAGCTCTTGCCATCTGCAGGAAAATGCTCAGCTGTATTGCAAACCATATCTTGTAGAAAACTTAAGACACCAGAATGTTAGACTGTACCAATTCTGTCTGGTGACTGCTGAAGAAAGGATGCTTCCATTTTCAAAGAGGTTATTTATAAACCAAAACAGACAGGACGCCTAAGGGAGCATAAACCCATGTGTACCAGTGCATTAAATGTGTTATGATTTGAAAAATACGTAGTGTATGGAACTGTTTCACAAACCAAAAAGCAATAAAATAGAAGGGCTATAATTCTGATAATAAAAATGATCTACATTGGGGGATCAGACCCAGAGATTTTTGAACCATTATTTTGAACCATCTGTTAAACCCACCAGCTCCATTCTTAGTCCCCACATTGGTTCAGACTGCTGGTTGGCATTGGTAGCCTCCTCATCTCTTACACAGATCACATGGTTTGGGAGTGAAGCCTAATCCAGTATAGCACCGTGTAGAAGTCTGAAATTTGATAGGCTAGCACTAATTCATAAATAGGCATATTTTCTTGCCTTGTTTGTTTTGTCTATCAAAAGTGCAATGCACTGGTATCACGATCATATGTTCTGAAACATAATATGCAAAATACACACTGAAGTCAATGGGAGTTGAGAATGCTCAGAAATTGAAGGGATCAAGCCCTAAAGCTACTAGAAAGGTACACGAGTAGACAGATCTCAGTGCACAACATACAATCACTAGGCTGATTTCATGTCAGGTATAATTCTATTTCACTGCAGTTACACCAGAGAAGAGTTTGGCTCATTGCATAGCTATTCATTCCAAGAATGATTTTCCCTAAAACAAACAATGTTTTAACCACCCTGTCAAGCTAATGCTACTGACAATTAATTTTAAGGAAGAAAATACCATGTATAAAATGTATGGAGTGAGGGTTTGGGGCCTGTGTTTTGTAGGAGATCAGATCAGATAACCATAATTGTCCCTTCTGGCCTATGGAACTGTTCTCCCTCATGACACAACACACACATTCTTAAAATAATGATAATTGCCTGGCTTCTCTATTTACAGTTTCCTGAGAACTTGTTCTTCAGTAACGTAGACAAATGTCTACAAAGCAAATTCTTGGTTTATACATTATCAAACAGACTTTTAAAGAATCTTCTTCTATTAATCAGGCACAACTGTCAATGCTGGATACAGCAGTTTTCACAACAGAGCCTTGGGATTTTTGAATAAACGGGGGTAAAAAACCCCTGACATTTCTTTCTTAACCAGACACTGAATTTACACCCACAGCTGGGGTGCTGAGGATTTAGATAGTTGAAAACAAAATTGACTATTTTTGTTTTCAGGATGAAGGCCCTATCCCAGAAGATGCTGAGTTTCTTTCAGGAGATGCTACCTGCCTTCCATTCAGGAGATGCTACCTGCCCTTCAATAGAAGCACAGGGACTCCCAGGAGGTGGTCAACAATTTGAGGTATTGGGCACAAAGAGAAGAGTGAAATGTTAGTTAAGGAATAGAGGTGAGGTGGCACAATGGATTTCTAATGCATTGGCCTTTCATTTCTGGAAAGAAGGGCTCATCTATGGCTTCATAACCTACAAGTGAAAATTAATGATGGGGTCTCAAAATCTTTGGAAAAAATATCAGAAACCTGACAATTTGACACATATGACCATCTGTCTTCTGAGCCTTAGTCACCAATAGAAATAGAAGGGTGTGGTGGGGTCAGGATCCAGTAGCAGTTTTCTGTATGCAGCCTTACATTTGGCCCTTCAGCATTCAGCAGATTGTAGCATTCCCCTTTTCTCTATGTCATGAGCATCTCTGGCCTGCTTTTAAAAATTCCAAATGGGATGATTAATACTGCCATTTTTCTGTCTTTTGTGTAGCCATTGGTTTTGTTTATAGGAGCTGCAGCAGTGCAAGTAGGGTGGTACGGTCCGGTAAAGATACCAGAAGGCTATTTATAGCTAGTACAGAGTACCAGAAAGACACAGGAGGAGCAGAAGGTGGGGCCGCTGGGAGGCCCCATGCCGGCAGCTCCTCCGGCGCAGCTGTATCGCCCCCAGCCCTTCCAGGCAGGCTCTCCTCCGCCTGTACAACAGCAGCCCCGCCGGAGGACAGGGCTGGGCATGGGCCAGCCACAGAAGGAGCTGCCGGTGTTCTGCGCCTTTCCCCGCTGCCCCTCTTAGCTGGGGAAGGAGCAGAGCCCCCAGCCCTGCTCCTGCCCTTCCACGGAGCCGCGTCTCCTCCGGCTCGGTCTGTACTGCAGCAGCCCGGCCACCGCCAGAGGCCAGGGCTGGGGGTGGAACAGCCACCACAGGAGCCGCCGCTGTTCCTCTCCTTTCCCCACTGCGGTTCCCGGGAAACACAGGAGGGAAAGGAGCAGAAGATGGGGCCACCGTGCGCCCTACGCCGGCAGCTCCTCCAGCGCGGCTGTACCGCCCCCAGCCCTGCTGTTGTGCAGATGGAGGAAACCCTGCGTAGAAGGGCTGCGGGCGGTACAGCCACGCCGGAGCAGCTGCAGACATGGGGCCGTACAGTGGCCCCATCTTCTGCTCCTTTCCCTCCTGTGGTTCCGTCGTCACACCTGCCCAGGAGGAAGAGGACAGGGCCCTCCACCCTCCGCCACAGGTAAGGGGAGTGGATCAAGGGGAGGGGATGGGGAGAGCGTGGGGACCCCGCGCTGGGGGCGGGGCAGAGAGGAGTCACATGGAGGGTCACGTGAGGAGGTCACGTCCCCCCCAGTTAGCTGCTCCCCCTCGGTACCGGTAAGAAATGGATTCCACTTGCACCGCTGAGGAACTGCATCCATCAGACAAAAGATCTTCTGGGTGATGCTTCTTGATAAACTGGGACAGGGGGGTACAACATTCAGCAGCTGCCAAAAAATCTTAGACCTTCTACGTGTCTGTTCTGTAGCTTATGGTGATAGTACGGTGGCATTATACACAGTTGCAGATTGTAAAATGATTGTTTACTGAAAGGACATTTTAGTTTTTCATATGTATCCCCACCGATCAATCCCTATGGTTTAAATTGAAACCCGTTGTCAAAAGCAGTCCTTTAATGGACAAACATCTAAATAGCAGCAGCAGCAGCTGATGCAAAGGGAATCATTGCATAGCCTTTGCACTGACATTTCCTAAGTTTGAGGGCTGCCTTATATTCATCATGACCTAAGTAAATGAAAATTGTTTTGACCTCAATGATGCACAGGCCAATCACTAATAAAAATTTTACAACAGCCTTAAGTACTGAAAGACTTTCCAACACATTTTGCTTTTGTTTTGTTTGCAAATTCCATTTTTCATTGATGCTACCTGGATATTTTCCTAACAAGGAAGAACCAGTCTATATCAGTCATGCTATTTTCCTCTTGTATGTCACATTCCCCTCAGATGTTTCAGTGATTTCAGCCTTGTTTGATTCCCCTTCTCACAAAAGAAAGGGGAGTTCACTTCCCCAGTCATTATGAGGTTGTTGTCAAGGAATGCTCTCTGAAGGGTGGTCCTTTTTAGAAAGGTCCAAGTGAGTGAATACAGATAGTGAGCTCTTAAGCTATGTAATAATATTTTCCTCTTCCAGCTAAACCTTCAAGAAACAAAGAGGGTTTCATCTATTTTGCAGAAGCCTTCCTGTTTATGCTCCACCACCCTTTTCTCTTCCATAAATCCTTTAAATCCTTTGAAAATTTCTAACCTGGGACAAATTCATAAAAATTCACAGTTTTGAATTTCATAATTTTTATAGTGAAATCTGTGCTTGCTCAACATGCTAAAGTTTCACTGTGAAGTAAATGACTGAATTCTGGCAAGTATATCCGTTCTTGTCTGTGAACACTGACAAAGCTGAACTTGGCAGTTTTGCACAGCTCTAAGTCAACACATGAGAGTTTTCTGGCACATGTGGAGGTGAGAGGCTGAATCCCTTCAAAGCTAGATTTTCTGTTTTAGCCATGAGAAGCAAGCAAGCAAGCAAGAAAGAAAAAGTATTTTGGAACTATTCCATCTGGCAGTATCTCACTGTGTTGTAGAATAAAGGGAAAGGAAGGGGACATGGAATACTCTACAGGTTGAGTGAGGTATAAACATGTCTGGGACCAGAGCCTTTCATTCCATATTTCAGCTGGAAAATGAGATTTAAGAAAAATTCTAAAATACTATTGCTAAATTACCTAAGCTAAACTGACTGATGGGAAACTTTAACTAAGTCTCCTTTACTGAACTGATGGCTAATGTGATTTTTTATACAGAGTTTGTTTTCTTACTTGCAATAGTCAAAGGGCCAGGGTAAGTTCGGGATCTTTCTTTCTTTCTTTCTTTCTTTCTTTCTTTCTTTCTTTCTTTCTTTCTTTCTTTCAGCTTGTATGTGAACCAGTGAGAAGAGAGTCAGAGGGGCAGGTGTGACATGAAGCGAAGGGGAAAGACTGTGAGGGAGGGGAACAGAGAGGTTGGAGCAAACAAACAATACAGTCCAGTCAACACTGTAGAAAGTTCTCTGAATGTCTGAAGGTCCCTGCTTTGGCTGCTTCTGCAGCTGTTTCTACCAGCTGGAGTCTCTGGCTGGTTCTTCCCTGGCTTGTGGAGGGGATGGTGGTTAGGCACCTAGTTCTCCAGAGAATGTTGTGAGGGGTGTCCCCCCTGCACAGTTCTGGGTCTGTGGGTGAGGGTGGCCATAGCCAGGCCCCATTTTATACTCTCCCTCACAGTGCATCAAACCCTGTGTCATAAATATAAAGGGAAGGGTAAACCCCTTTGAAATCCCTCCTGGCCAGGGGAAAGCTCCTCTCACCTGTAAAGGGTTAAGAAGCTAAAGGTAACCCCGCTGGCACCTGACCAAAATGACCAATGAGGAGACAAGATACTTTCAAAAGCTGGGAGGAGGGAGAGAAACAAAGGGTCTGTGTCTGTCTGTAGTCGTCTTGGCCGGGGATAGACCAGGAATGGAGTCTTAGAACTTTTAGTAAGTAATCTAGCTAGGTATGTGTTAGATTATGATTTCTGTAAATGGCTGAGAAAAGAATTGTGCTGAATAGAATAACTATTTCTGTCTGTGTATCTTTTTTGTAACTTAAGGTTTTGCCTAGAGGGGTTCTCTATGTTTTTGAATCTAATTACCCTGTAAGATATCTACCATCCTGATTTTACAGGGGGGATTTCTTTATTTCTATTTACTTCTATTTTTTATTAAAAGTCTTCTTGTAAAAAACTGAATGCTTTTTTCATTGTTCTCAGATCCAAGGGTTTGGGTCTGTGGTCACCTATGCAAATTGGTGAGGCTTTTTATCCAACATTTCCCAGGAAAGGTGGGGTGCAAGTGTTGGGAGGATTGTTCATTGTTCTTAAGATCCAAGGGTCTGGGTCTGTAGTCACCTAGGCAAATTGGTGAGGCTTTACCAAACCTTGTCCAGGAAGTGGAGTGCAGGGTTTTGGGAAGTATTTTGGGGGGAAAGACGCGTCCAAACAGCTCTTCCCCAGTAACCAGTATTAGTTTGGTGGTGGTAGCGGCCAGTCCAAGGACAACGGGGGGAATATTTTGTACCTTGGGGAAGTTTTGACCTAAGCTGGTAAAGATAAGCTTAGGAGGTTTTTTCATGCAGGTCCCCACATCTGTACCCTAGAGTTCAGAGTGGGGGAGGAACCTTGACACCCTGTTTTGGCTGTTTTGCAGTTGTTCCTGTCAGCTAGAGTCTTTCCTTTCCTCCAAATAAAATAAATAAAGAGTATTCTATGGCTAATATCTCATGTTTACTAACAGGTGATGTCTGCCAAAGAGCACAAATTAGCATGTTAATGGAGCTGTACTGTAATTTGGGTGGCCAAAAATGAAGAGGCACATACAAAAATCTAAAACTAAACCAAAATAAATTAGTAATGTGTTTGATGTTTTAAAATCCATTTAAAACACATTGTTTGATCTTGTTTGTTACCACATCTAAATACCCTTTTCTATTTCACTTTCTCTACTGAGTCTCATGTATGGGATAAAGAGAAATGTTTCTTTCCTGAATATTTTGAAAACAGTTGTTAACAAAAGAGCCCAGATGCTTTTAAAACTTATCGGAATTGGGGTTCCTTTCACTTAAAGCTGGTTTTACATTGTGAATCTGTTGATTTACACTGGCCTAAGGGAAAGGAGATTCAGAGCTATTGTTTTCACTACCATAATTAATTGAAATGTCCATATCTGTAGTTCTGCAGCAGTTCTAATATGTTCTATTAATATATCTTCTAGGCATTCACTTAATTACATCCTAAAATCTACATTGTGGCATGTTATAATAGGACAAACATACTGTAGTAAGTGTTGCAAAAGCAGTAAGAGGAATCTAATACTAATATGTAGGGGGAAATTCTGCTTCATTTCATCGCAGGTATGTAAGGCAATCATACTCGTATGGTTCCACTGCTCAGGGGAAGGGAACAGAATATGAGAAGACCCTGCAAAGGAATCTGCTCCCGCTCTGATGTGTGGAGCTGTAGAGCTCTGCAAATCCATAGGTATCTGCTTTATATCCACGGACCATTTCTGCAGATAGCAGCGTGGATGTGGATACAAATTTTGTATCTGCGCAGGGCTCTGACAGTCGTGGCATGGATCCTCCACCTGCCTTGGGTGGGGACCCTGGGGAGCAGGGACACTCGGCAGGGGGCTGCTTGGGCCCCAGGGCAGATGGAGGGTCCGCCGCAGCTCCCCACAGCTGCCAGCATGGCTCTCCTCCACCCAGTTCCGGCCAGGGAGGGGAGTGGCTCCGAGCCGCAGCTTGGCCACGATAAGAGCCGGCCGGGCAACTGTGTGAAGCTGTAGCGGACCCTACACCTTCCCTGGGCGGAGGGCCCAAACAGCCCCCAGGCACCTCCACAGGTCCCCCCACCATGCCCCCACCTCCCAGGCTCCCAGCCTGGCCAAAGGCAGATGGAGGGTCCGTAACTCTGCGCGGGCTCCCCACAGCTGCCCGGGGCTCTCCTTGACCGGGATCTAGCGGGGGGGATGCCTCGGAGCCTCAGCCCGGCCCCCAGTGTAGAGCCCAGCAAATCTGCAGATATCTGCGGCTACGCGGATAGCTGCAGATAATTTTTGCGGATAGTGGATCAGATATGCATACACATTTGTGTATCCACGCAGGGCTCTATGGAGCTGTGTTCCACAGGGGTTTATCCATAGCAGCATAGAGGGATACTTTGGAGGAGCATAAGTTAAAACTGGGGATGTGGCCAGGAGACCCAAGAGAGAAGGCCTAGCAGCCACAGAACTTCTTGCCGCCATGAGGCTACAGCAGCAGATGCAGAGTGACTCCACTGTCTTGCCATGATTTTAAAAGGTGGATTCTCTCCCCTAACCCATATATAACCTCCCAGCACATGGCCCACCTACTTGGTGTTTGATTTATTCAAGAGTTAACATCTTCATGGCTAATTCATCCTCACAACAGCCTGCACGGCAGGTAGGTGAGTCCTGCATTCCTCATTCTGCAGATGGAGAAACTGTTTCACAGAGGAATAATGGGGCAGATTTTCAAAGATATTTGGATGCCTAAAGATGCAGGCAGGAGCCTACTGGAATTTGCAAGAGCACCGTAGCAAGTTAGGCACCTAACTCACAGTGATTTCAGTGGAAATTAAGTGATTATC